GGGATCCCAAATCCCACAAATCCCATCCCAAATCCCAGAATCCCATGCCAAATCCTGGGAATTGGATCCCAAATCCCAGAATCCCATCCCAAATCCCAGAATCCCATTCCAAATCCCAGGATTTGGATCCCAAATCCCAGAATCCCATCCCAAATCCCAAGAATCCCATCCCAAATCCCGGAATCCCATCCTAAATCCTGGCAATTCGATCCCAAATCCCAGAATCCCATCCCAAATGCCGGGAATGGGAACCCAAGTCCCGGGAATTCCATCCAAATCCCGGGAATTCCATCCCAAATCCCATGACTTGGATCCCAAATCCCAGGAATTCGATCCCAAATCCCATGATTTGGATCCCAAATCCCAGGAATTCAATCCCAAATGGCGGGATTTGATCCCAAATCCTGGGAATTCGATCCCAAATCCCAGGAATTCGATCCCAAATCCCGGGAATTCGATCCCAAATCCCAGGAATCCCATCCCAAATCCCGGGATTTCGATCCCAAATCCGAGAATCCCATCCCAAATCCCATGATTTGGATCCCAAATCCCAGGAATCCCATCCCAAATCCCAGAATCCCATCCCAAATCCCAGGAATCCCAACCCAAATCCCAGGAATCCCATCCCAAATCCCGGGATTTGATCCGAAATCCTGGGAATTCGATCCCAAATCCGGGGAATGGGATCCCAAATCCCACAAATCCCATCCCAAATCCCAGAATCCCATCCCAAATCCCAGAATCCCATCCCAAATCCCAGAATCCCATCCCAAATCCCATGAATCCCATCCCAAATCCCAGAATCCCATCCCAAATCCCGGCAATCCCATCCCAAATCCCAGAATCCCATCCCAAATGCCGGGAATGGGAACCCAAGTCCCGGGAATTCCATCCAAATCCCGGGAATTCCATCCCAAATCCCATGACTTGGATCCCAAATCCCAGGAATTCGATCCCAAATCCCGGGATTTGGATCCCAAATCCCAGGAATCCCATCCCAAATCCCGGGAATCCCATCCCAAATCCCAGGAATCCCATCCCAAATCCCGGGAATTCGATCCCAAATCCCGGGAATGGGATCCCGAATCCCAGGAACTTGATCCCAAATGCCAGGATTTGATCCAAAATCCTGGGAATTCGATCCCAAATCCGGGGAATGGGATCCCAAATCCCAGGAATTCGATCCCAAATCCCAGAATCCCATCCCAAATCCCGGGAATCGGATCCCAAATCCCAGGAATCCCATCCCAAATCCCATGATTTGGATCCCAAATCCCAGGAATTCGATCCCAAATCCCAGGAATGGGATCCCAAATCCGGGAATTCCGGTACCTGCCGCTCGCGCCGCCCCTTTCTTGTGGCTGTTCTTGGCCAGGGGCAGCAGCAGCTCCTGCTCCTCCGGGGGCATCTGCGCCACCTTCTGCAGGAACAGCTTCTCCAGCGTCTGCGCCATCAGCACGATGTCATCCGTGGGCTGAGCGGGGGAAAAACGGGATCAGGGCTGGGGAAATTCCAGAGGGGAAACGCGGGAGTTTCAGGGAATTTTGGGGGATTTTTTGGAAATTTTTTTGGGGTTTTTTTGGGGGTTTTTTGGGTTTTTTTTGGGATTTTTTGGGATTTTTTTTGAAATTTTTTTGGATTTTTTGGGGGATTTTTTGGGATTTTTTTGGGGTTTTTTTGGAATTTTTTGGGGATTTTTTTCGAATTTTTTTGGATATTTTTTTTTAATTTTTTTGGATTTTTTCGGGATTTTTTGGAATTTTTTTGGGATTTTTTTGGGGATTTTTTTGGATTTTTTTGAAATTTTTTTGGGATTTTTTTGGAATTTTTTTGGGATTTTTTTGGAATTTTTTTGGATTTTTTTTTAATTTTTTTGGATTTTTTTGAAATTTTTTTGGATTTTTTTTGAATTTTTTTTTTATTTTTTGGAAATTTTTTTGGATTTTTTTGAAATTTTTTTGGATTTTTTGGGGGATTTTTTTGGATTTTTTTTTAAATTTTTGGAAATTTTTTTGGATTTTTTTGGAAATTTTTTTGGGATTTTTTTTGGGATTTTTTGGGATTTTTTGAAATTTTTTTGGATTTTTTGGAAATTTTTTTGCATTTTTTTTGAAATTTTTTTGGATTTTTTTTAAATTTTTTTGGATTTTTTTTTAAATTTTTTTGGATTTTTTTTTGGATTTTTTTTGATTTTTAAAAGAAATTTTTTGGATTTTTTTTTATTTTTTTGCGGGAATTTTTCTGGATTTTTTAAAAAATTTTTGGGGATTTTTTTTGATCATTTTTATACCAATTTTTGGTCATTTTTATTCTAACTTTTGATCATTTTTATACCAATTTTTGGTCATTTTTACACCTATTTTCGGTCATTTTTATACCAATTTTTGATCAATTTTATGCCAACTTTTGATCATTTTTATACCAATTTTTGGTCAGTTTTATACCAATTTTTGGGCATTTTTACACCAATTTTTGGTCATTTTTATACCAATGTTTGATCAATTTCATATGGATTTTAGATCATTTTTATACCGATTTTTGGTCATTTTTACACCAATTTTTGGTCATTTTTACACCAATTTTTGATCATTTTTATATCAATTTTTGGGCATTTTTATACCAATTTTTGGTCATTTTTGCACCAATTTTTGGTCATTTTTATACCAATTTTTGATCATTTTTACACCAATTTTTGGGCATTTTTACACCAATTTTTGGTCATTTTTGCACCAATTTTTGATCATTTTTATACCAATTTTTGGGCATTTTTACACCCATTTTTGATCATTTTTATACCAATTTTTGGTCATTTTTGCACCAACTTTTGATCATTTTTATACCAATTTTTGATCATTTTTACACCGATTTTTGTGCTAATTTTGGATAAATTTTGGGGTGTTTTGGGGGTGTTTTTGGGGTGTTTTTGGGGTGTTTTGGGTACCTTGTTGTAGATGTAGCAGTTGGTGAACATGGTGTTGAAGTCCTGCATGCACTCGGCCGCCCCCCAGATTTTTGTGTCATTTTTGTGCCACTTTTTGGGCATTTTTGCACCAATTTTTGGTCATTTTTATACCAATTTTTGATCAATTTTATATGGATTTTAGATCATTTTTATACCGATTTTTGGTCATTTTTACACCAATTTTTGGTCGGTTTTATACGAATTTTTGGGCATTTTTACAACAACTTTTGGTCATTTTTACACCAATTTTTGGTCATTTTTGCACCAATTTTTGGTCATTTTTACACCATTTTTTGATCATTTTTACACCATTTTTTGATCATTTTTATACCAATTTTTGATCATTTTTGCACCGATTTTTGTGCTAATTTTTGATAAATTTTGGGGTGTTTTTGGGGTGTTTTTGGGGTGTTTTGGGTACCTTGTTGTAGATGTAGCAGTTGGTGAACATGGTGTTGAAGTCCTGCATGCACTCGGCCGCCCCCCAGTAATAATTGTTCTCCAGCCTGCGTTTGATGGTTCCCATATCCATCGGCTGCTTGATGATTTTGTGGTAATCCTGGGAATTCCGGGAAAAAAAATTGGGATTTTGGGATGGGGAACGCCCTTGGGGAGGGGGAGAGGGTGGGAATTTGGGAATTGAGGGAGTTTTGGGATGGAATTGGGGGGTTTGGGAGTTTTCTGTGGGAATTGGGGGTTGTTGAAAGGAGTTGGGAATTAAAATTCATATTTATGCAGCAAAAGATTCCCAATAATCACCCCAAAAAATTTCAAAAATGTCGTCCCAAAAATGGCAAAAAATTGGCAAGAATTTCCACAAATATTCCACAAAAAAATCCCCCCAAAAAATTCTTTAAAAATCTCAAGAAATCCCCAAAAATCCTCCAAAAAATTGCAAAAAATCCCCCCCAAAAATTCCAACAAAATAAAAAAAAAATAAAATCACAAGAAAGCCACAGAAAATCCACCCAAAAATAAAAAAAATTTTTCAAAAAATCCTGAAAAAATTCCCCCAAAAACCCTGAAAAAATTCCCCAAAAAATCCCCCAAAAATCCCAAAAAAATTCCCAAAAATTCCCCCAAAAACCCCCAAAAAATCCGGAAAAAATTCCCCAAAACACCTCCAAAAAATCCCCCAAAATTCCCCAAAAAATCCCAACAAAATCCTGAAAAAATTCCCCAAAAAACCCCCAAAAAATCCCCAAAAAATCCCTAAAAATCCCAAAAATCCCCCAAAAATCCTGAAAAAAATTGCCCAAAAAAATCCCAAAAAATCCCAAAAAAAAATCCCCCAAAAATCCTGAAAAAATTCCCCAAAAAAAAACCCAAAAAATCCCCAAAAAAATCCCCCAAAATTCCCAAAAAAATCCTGAAAAAATTCCCAAAAAAACCCCCCAAAAAATCCCAAATAAATCCTGAAAAAATTCCCAAAAAAATCCCCAAAATTCCCAAAAAAATCCTCCAAAATATCATGAAAAAATTCCCCAAAAAATCCAAAAAAATCCCAAAAAATCCCCCCAAAAATCCCAAAAAATCCCCAAAATTCCCCAAAAAAACCCCCAAAAAATCCTGAAGAAACTCCCAAAAATTCCCAAAAAAATCCCCAAAAAATCCCCCAAAAAATCCCTAAAAATCCCCAAAATCCCCCAAAAATCCTGAAAAAAATTCCCCAAAAAATCCCAAAAAATATCCCCCAAAAATCCTGAAAAAATTCCCCAAAAAAAACCCCAAAAAATCCCAAAAAAAATCCCCCAAAATTCCCCAAAAAACCCCCAAAAATCCCAAAAAAATCCCAAAAAAATCATGAAAAAATTCCCAAAAAAAATCCCCAAAAATCCCAAAAAATCCCCAAAAAATCCCCAAAAATTCCCCCAAAAAATCCCCAAAAAATCCCCAACAAAAAAAATCCCCAACAAACCCTACCGGCAACCCCAACTTGACGGCGTCCACGGGCTGGCGGAAGGGCCAAGCGAACTGGTGCTTCCAGAGGGCTTTCATCACCACCTTGTGCAGGTACTGGAGCTGGTTGGTGATCCGGCCGGGTTTTTTGGGATTGGAAACCTCCGGAGGAGGAGGATTCGCCTGAGGGTTGGGAAGGGAAGGCACCGAGGCCATGGTGGGGCTCTCGAATCCCTCGTAGAGCAGCGAAGGTTTCCGGATCCGTTTGCCCGGCGTGGAGTCCGTGGCCAAAGCCATGAGGCCGGCATTGCCCTCCCCCAAAATCCTGGGATTTAAAAAAAAAAACAGCGAGGAAAGGGTTAAAAAAAAAGGTTAAAAAATCCTGGAATACTCAGAAAAAAAATAGCCGGGAAAAAAAAAAATTCCAAGTTGAAATCGTCCCTAAATCCGCTCCTAAATTCACAATTCTAACCCAAAAATCCCATTTTTTAAGGTGTTCACGCAAAGGGATTTAAGGCACAAAATTCCAGAGTTTCAGCCACAGAATTCCATGAAATTGGGCAAAAATTCCTGAGGGTTTTGGTGGTGAAATTCCGAGAATCTCAAGCAGAAAATTTTGGGCTGTGAGCTCCGAAGAGAGATGGGAATTCCTGAGGATTTTTGGCTGGGAAATCCTGGGAATTTTAGGCAAAAATTCCTGAGGATTTTGACCAGGAAATCTCGGGAATTTTGGCCACAAAATCTTGGGAATTTTGGCCAAAAAAATCTCGGCAATTTTAGGCAAAAAAATTCCTGAAAATTTCAACCATCAACCCCTGGGGAATCTCAGAAATTCCTGGAAATTCTGGATACAACTTCCAGGAATTCCATTCAAATGAACAAAACCTAAAAAATTCCCAAAAATTTTTACTGAATTCCCCGGAATCTCAGGAGAAAATTCCCGAGGATTTTGGCCACGAGGAATTTCAGTGCAAATCCCATGAATTTTAATCAGGAAAGCCCTGGAATTTTAACCCAAAAATCCCATTATTCTCCCAATAAATTCCAAGATTTTTCCACCTTAAACCCTCAGGAATTCCGATTTAGGGCAAAAATCAGGATTAGGGAAGAACAGGGAATGGTGGGAAGGTACCAAAAATCTGTTAAATCCATGGAAAACGCTGGAAAACGAACGGGAAGGATTTGGGGATGGATCCAGGAATGGGGAGGCCCAGAACGCAAATCCCAAGGATTTGGGATCCCCAGGACACCAATCCCAAGGATTTGGGGATCCCCAGGACACAAATCCCAAGGATTTGGGGATCCCCAGGACACCAATCCCAAGGATTTGGGATCCCCAGGACACCAATCCCAAGGATTTGGGATCCCCAGGACACCAATCCCAAGGATTTGGGGATCCCCAGGACACCAATCCCAAGGATTTGGGGATCCCAGGACACAAATCCCAAGGATTTGGGATCCCCAGGACACTGATCCCAAGGATTTGGGGATCCCAGGACACAAATCCCAAGGATTTGAGATCCCCAGGACCCCAATCCCAAGGATTTGGGGATCCCAGGACACAAATCCCAAGGATTTGGGGATCCCAGGACACAAATCCCAAGGATTTGGGATCCCCAGGACATCAATCCCAAGGATTTGGGATCCCCAGGACACCAATCCCAAGGATTTGGGATCCCCAGGACACCAATCCCAAGGATTTGGGGATCCCAAGGACACAAATCCCAAGGATTTGGGATCCCCAGGACACCAATCCCAAGGATTTGGGGATCCCCAGGACACCATCCCCAGGACACCAATCCCAAGGATTTGGGGATCCCCAGGACACCGATCCCAAGGATTTGGGAATCCCAAGGACACAAATCCCAAGGATTTGGGATCCCCAGGACACAAATCCCAAGGATTGGGGATCCCCAGGACACCAATCCCAAGGATTTGGGATCCTCAAGACACAAATCCCAAGGATTTGGGATCCCCAGGACACCAATCCCAAGGATTTGGGATCTCCAGGACACAAATCCCAAGGATTTGGGATCCCCAGGACACCAATCCCAAGGATTTGGGATTCCCAGGACACAAATCCCAAGGATTTGGGGATATCCAGGACACAAATCCCAAGGATTTGGGATCCCCAGGACATCAATCCCAAGGATTTGGGATCCCCAGGACACAAATCCCAAGGATTTGGGATCCCCAGGACACCAATCCCAAGGATTTGGGGATCCCAAGGACACAAATCCCAAGGATTTGGGATCCCCAGGACACCAATCCCAAGGATTTGGGGATCCCCAGGACACCATCCCCAGGACACCAATCCCAAGGATTTGGGGATCCCCAGGACACCGATCCCAAGGATTTGGGAATCCCAAGGACACAAATCCCAAGGATTTGGGATCCCCAGGACACAAATCCCAAGGATTGGGGATCCCCAGGACACCAATCCCAAGGATTTGGGATCCTCAAGACACAAATCCCAAGGATTTGGGATCCCAGAACACAAATCCCAAGGATTTGGGAACTCCAGGACACAAATCCCAAGGATTTGGGATCCCCAGGACACCAATCCCAAGGATTGGGGATCCCCAGGACACCAATCCCAAGGATTTGGGATCCCCAGGACACAAATCCCAAGGATTTGGGGATCCCCAGGACACCAATCCCAAGGATTTGGGATCCTCAAGACACAAATCCCAAGGATTTGGGAAGATCCAGGACACAAATCCCAAGGATTTGGGATCCCCAGGACCCCAATCCCAAGGATTTGGGAAGATCCAGGATCCGGGATCCCCTTTTTTCCCGGAGCTGTCCCCGGGGTGACCTCAGGACTGTCCCCAAGGGCACGGCCCCGGTGACACCGGCACCGGTTTGGGGGTCCCGATGTCACCGGCACAGCCTGGGGGTGACACAGCCCCAGTTTGGGGGTGACACTGTCACAGTTTGGGGGTGACACAGCCTGAGTTTGGGGGTGACACTGTCACAGTTTGGGGGTGACACAGCCTGAGTTTGGGGGTGACACTGTCACAGTTTGGTGGTGACACAG